CCCACTTCATCTTTCTGGAGAAAAATTAATCATCCTAATACTGAAATACCCATGCAATCATTTGACTATGAAATTGAAAGCAAATTATATTGATAAGTCTAATTGAATTATTCACATCACCACCATTCGTGCTGATGAGAAACCTCTGCATACCCTATGAATGAATCACTTCGTATTTTTGAATTTTCTAAATTGCCTTTCGGATTATATACAATTGCAAAACAATACACTTGGATTTACAGGGTCTTCAACTTCCACTGCCCCCCTGGGATTAACATTATCCCGAACATTTCGAAAGAAATTTAATTTCTCGTCGAATGTAGTAATCATCGCACATGTAATACCAGTCAGAAATTATAATATCGCATTATTAGATCGACGTCTTTTTTTAAATTCCTGACGATATTGGAAGATGATCGGTTGAATTGTCTCGACAAAGGTGAATATCAATGGGTGCCCACACAATGGGAGGCGGGTAGATAGCTCTCGTCATTACCATAAATATAACTTATATTCTTCTCTCGGCATTGCTCGTCAATGACATTTTGCAGGGAGTGCCTCAGCGCCCGCCTGCACGCTTGCTTGCGACCCGCTTAACATAATAACAAAAAAAAAACAAAAAAAAGTGTTGCTGTACACGGATTTTCGCATCTTCCCTGTATTCCGAATATCGAATCACGCCAATCTACTGATGAATAAGTGATTTAGCAGTTAACGTAACAATGGGGAACTTTCACTTGATCTACCTATACCTCTGTTCATCGCCATACCAACCCAAATCAAGTCAGATGGAAGGAAAAATTCTTCTAGAAATGTGTAGTTTTACTGGTCCAGGAGATTACTATCTGATATGTTCATTCACAAAAGATTGCTGCAATTCACTTTATTATAATCTAAAGAAGCATCCGTTTGTTTGAATGATAAGAAGACGTTATTGAGAATGAAGAATAGAGTATAATGTACTGTGGTTTCCAAGTTGAATAAAAATAACAAAAAAAAAAGAAATAGAAAAATATAGTTTACCTGCTTTGTTGCTCTTCATTATCACTGAGATATACAAACATTTACGTAGAGACCAAATATAGCATTTTCAGTAACAAGCACTTAGAGCTTTAGAAACTACTGCTACCCATATTGAGTAAAAGTTCCTTAATTATGAACTCATTTCATAACTTCATAGTATAGAAATCTCATCGATAGTCAATGAGTGAGTAAAATCTATGTATATAGTCTTAATCTAGATAACAACTCAAAAATGTGAAACCTTCATGGTTTTTATCGACGTGATTATTCTAAAACCACTAGTTCTCAAATTAACCATAAGTTTTAGCAACACCACTAGCTATAGAACCTATACCATTATTCACTCTTTCTCAAGGCGTAAAGTCTGTTTTTTTCTACAAAAGTGGTTTTCGCCATTTTATGAAATACTATAGTCAAAGTAACGGCCGAGTCAATTCAAAAAATACTATAGTCAATGAAGACATATATAGCCACCTATGTTCTGATGCGAGATTCGTAGAAATGACACGCGATTCAAGTGGGTATAATATGTATATCAATAATCACTTATCAAATGCTGTCTTGGTCATTCAAGATTTTAATCGGAATTGAAAAAAAGTGCTTTCATAGTGACAAAAGGTCCATATTTCAGTTTCATAGAACTATAATGATTGAAATAAATTGCAATTGCAACGATACCTGGTCATTTTTCAATGATAATCCGAAAAGTAGTCTTAGACAGTCCTCTCTTGATCTCGGCATTCCAAAATCAAAAATTTGGAGGCATTTGAGAAATGAACCAAAATTTCTTCACACCCTTGAGAATGGGGATAATATCATCCTGTGTATTAGGTCATTATGAAACATGTGCTTTTAAGTGGTATCTGAATGAAATCATGATTTTAATTATACTTTTCTCATTATTTTCAAGCATCAAAAATTAATTGACAATAAATAACGCCCTGTATATGATATCAATATGAAAATTTGACCACATGTATATTTGAGAGAGTTCTCAACATGCTGAGAATGTCAGTTTTCCGCTGAAATTCATAATTTATCTGAGAATATTCCTTTTCAATTCTTTCATTACGCTTGATGGTGAAAACAATCGTGCTGAAAATCTGCATGTTGGAAATAGTGTGAGAAAGTGACTTTCAGAACAGATGCCAAATGTAAAGTATGTACTTATACTACTTCTATCGATGGATCCGATGAACTCTACCTCAAATCGCAAAAATGATCATTGCCTGGTATGTACGATGTGCATGTCATATTCGCAAAACGACATCATGGTTCAGAAAGCATCCACATGGCTCCTCAGGCGTTGCTGTGTATGTACGTTCATGTACGTTCAAATATACGCTGATCGTGACAGCCGTTAAAGTAGTGAATATTATTAACCCTATTACGCTGACGTTTCGTTGTGTATTACTGAAATCTTCCTCTCAGCTTCTGAATAATTTAAAAACTGTTTACAACAGCCATCGCTTTGCAATTATTTGAAAGAGTAGAGGGCATGGGAACCTTTCACTCATTATAGATGGAGTATCGTGAGTTTGTCTGTACCTACACACAAAACAGTGTACAGAATACTGTCTCGAGTAGCATTTCCATCGATATCTTCGATTTTTTTTATGGTTTCGTTCGGTGTTTGAAAAAAATCTATGATCAACAAGTGACATTATTATATTCCATGACTATAGTGATATTGGTGAGAGCATTTTGGATATGTTTGACTTGACTGTAAGTTTTTTTTTCTACAATTTTATGAGCCATTTCGAAATCTACTTCTGATACATCAATGAACATAATGACTTTTATTCGTGGTTGACTGAACAGAAATAAAATTGAATTATCGCTATAATGATCGATTTATCCAATTGAAAATAAGGCCATTTCCGAGAAACGCAATTAATTGATCAAAAACTCAATCACAATTGGAAATTAGCAACATTGTCGGCTTACTCAGAGTTATATTTAATCAATTTAGCCGTTAGGTACTGTTGATGAACATACCTTTCATCAAAAAGGAGAACGAGGAGAAACTAAATATCATTGAACCATTGCAATTTTGAAATGCGTTTCTTCCTAGTCCTATATAATCTGTCAGATAAAATAAATAGGAATTTGTGTTCTTAAATTTCTGGAGGTTATATGCTTCGGGGAACACCTTCCTTGGCAATGTGTTCCAGAGCCTCGCTGTTCGTTGGATGAACGAGTCTTTGGAAAAAGATATTCTGCAGGTCTCCAAAGTGACCACGAAGGAGTGCGAAGCCTCAATTCGACGGGTAAATCTCGCGGGGACTGCCAAGGAAAGAACAATTGTTGATATTTCAGAAGAGCATCGTCCATGAAAATATCTATAAAATAAAGCCAGATCGCCAACTTTTCTACGGTGTTCCAGAGAAGTGAGTGAGTTTGTGAGCGAGGCATCACCCATGTGACGAATCGCCCTTTTTTGGACAGAATCCAACAGTTTCAGGGTATGTTTGGGTGCTGCACTCCAAATATGGACAGGTCGGATCTGTGCCTTATAGATCATAAGCAGCTGACTGGAAATGAAATAGCTCCTGGCCCGAAACAGAAAATTGGGATGCACTTTAAGCAATTGATCTCACGTGATTTTCCCAAGCATCGAAATGGATATTTTCAAAGGTATGGTTACTCCTGACAAGCTTGTGTTGGGCACAGTGCGATCGGCTTTTCTAGAGAAAAGACATGCTTGTGTTTTGTTTGCATTGAAATCTACCAAGTTATTGGATCCCCATTCGAGAATTGTTGCCAAGACTATATTTATGTTGTCAACATTCCTTCCTCGTTCGTTTCTGATTTGCCTGGCTGGTATTGGAGCCCTGGAAGAGAAGGCGATATGGAGGGTACTATCATCCGTGAAGCTGTGTACTGGACATGAAGTTGCTTCCAACAAATCGTTGATATGGAGTAGAAATGATGTTGGTGCTAGAATTGAACCTTGCGGTACACCAGCATTTATAAAAAGAGAGTCAGATGAAACTCCGTCGACCACCACATAGAGAGACCTGTTTGAGAGAAAACTAGCTAGCAGAGAACATAGCTGGGGAGGCAAGCCATAAGATGGAAGCTTGACGAGGAGTACGTGGTGCCAGACTCGATCGAATGCCTTGGAGATATCAAGTGCCACGGCTAAGGTTTTACCATATTTTTTAATAGGTAGCTGCCATATAATATGTGAGACGTAAGCGAGCAGGTCACCCGTTGATCTCTAATGACGGAAGCCATATTGCCTATCGTTGATAATACCTGAATGTTCCAGGTATTTCATGAGCTCGATGTTGATAGCTTTCTCCATGATCTTTGAAATAATAGATAGCAGTGCGATCGGTCTGTAGTTGCTAGGTAGGGTCTCTTTGCCTTTTTTAGGAACTGGTTGTACTCTTGCTATTTTCCAGTTGGACGGGAATATCTCCAATTCGTAAGAGTAGTTGAACAACTTGCAGAAAACAGGTGTTAGTTCAGAAGCACATTTCTTGAGAACAATCGGTGGGATTCCGTCGGAGCCACAAGCTTTGTCGGTGTTGAGACCCAATAAAATCTTCCTTATAGTACGTTGGCAAAAGGTGATCTCGGGCATATGACTGTCAATTGGCGTTATGTTTGGAGGTTGTTTTCCTGATGAATCCAGAGTGGAATTTCCAGCAAATAAATGCGCAAAAATGTTGACTTTCTCCTGGGCAGTTGTGCATGGCTAGTGGTTCATCTCCCTTGGTGGTTGTAATTTTGGAGTGAATTCTCAACTCAAATTAGATATTTCATCAAGTTTTCCTATCAATGAGAATGTTGATAACGAATTTGATTGAATGGGCTCATGAGTTTCCATTTTACACAGTCAAGTAGGGTGATAGTTCAACTCAAAAGGTCGTGGACCGAAATTGACACATTATTGCGTGGAACTTGTGTGAAATTTCACTAAATTTTTTTCCAGTGTGCGAAATAATCACCAGAAAACTTTTTTACAGATGAAACCATTCTCCAAATGAAGATAGACAGTGTGATCTCCGCAGAGGCTACCTAAAACCCCACCTGGACTAAACTAACCACAATAACTCCATCCATTCCCTCCAAACATCTGGTCATGGAGATTTGATTTGACCAGCTGAGCCTGAGAAAAAAGTCAAATCCAAATCAGCTATCAGTTCCAGCCTATAAAGGCAGTTGTTGAAAAGAGGTGACAGGCACTAAAGGCAGCCAAGATGTTTGCGATCATGCAAATCGACAACGACGTGGGAGGAGGACAATTCAGGAGGAAGATGCGTACAAAGTGCGAGTTCGTGTGCAAGTTTTGCCAAAGGAGGTTCAACAAGCAGTACAACCTGATGATACACGAGAGGACGCACAAGAGTCCAGAGATGACGTTCTCCTGCGAGATATGCGGCAAGAATTTCAAAAGGCAGGACAATCTCAAGCAGCACAGGTAATTTTTGGATGTACGATAAATTGATATTCATCATACAGGACGTGGAAAGAAATTCTGAGTTGAGAAAACCTGATCACGAATCGGCGATTGAGGTCAATAATGTTCCTCGTTGACTAGAAAAAATAAGTAAATGATCGGGAAGATTCAAATACGTTCCGATATTCCAAAAGTTTAAATAATTTAACATACTGAGATGTTTCCAACACTAGCTTAGACTTTTATATGAAATCATCCGTCACAAAGGATTGTGAATAAATAATATATGGGATGTTTCTCGACGTTTATATAGAAAATGCACTAGCTCGACTAAAATTTTTATCTTCTCATAAAACCCATACTTTGAATATCGATATCTAATCTAGAAATTAAGTAATATGTATGTATGGGCATTTGGCACCTTGCTGTACAGTGTGTCCAGTTTTCGATGCTTTTGCATGATATCTCAGTTATCTTTGGAGATAGAACCTTGCGGTTTTCGCGGTCCTGAGCCACTTTTTTGTGGAACTCAAGATGGCCTAATCAGATTTTGCAGGACTGTTTCCGTTTATGAGATACAGGGCGATATTGAAAATTTATACTTTTTGGACCCCCTCTATATCTACGAAATTTATCAGCGAAAATGTCAAATTAAAATCTTGACCCATAGAGAATTTTATGCAGAATCCAGTGGCGCACAAAATTTTTTTTTTCGGGGTGTGGTTTTGAAAATACGACTCAAACTTATGATTTTTTAAATTAAACACCCTGTATTTTATAGGCTTATTGAATTCCTTATTTTTTTCCCTTCGAAATGATATATGATGTATGAATATATCATCTTCAAAAATGTTGAAAAGTCACTAAAACATTGAATTTTAATAGTGGGCTATGGTTTTTTCGAGGGATTTTCATATAAAGAAATTTACAATTGAAGGAATATTTCCTTTGATTGTTCCATGAAGGGGGAAATAACAATTTCAACAATAATTAACTTGCAATACACAACTTAGATACCTGCTATCCACAAATATATAGTAATGAAAAGTTTATAATGTAGAATAAGCACCTGATTGAATATTTACTAAAACAATTGAATTTCGAAATTATTCAGTGATTTATCCATTGAATTGTTCAAATTGATGTCCATTTTTCATCACAAACTTTTTCAATACATATTAATCATTGAAAGATGTCTTATTTGTAATTCCTGGAAAACTGCCTCTGTTGTTGCACAAAGTTCTTCAAGTATGTTGGGCCACTCACTGTATTGAGGAGTATTGAGAAAGTTTGTCAACTGTATGTTGGGGAAAATGGATATCAATTTGAACATGTCAATGAATAAGTTACTGAATAATTCCGAAATTCAATTATTTTAGTAAATATTTAATCAGGTGCTTATTCTACATTATGAACTTTGTTTGTTTTGTTAATTAATAAGTGTTGATATTGGTTTTGACCTCTCCATGGAACAATTTGAAGAAATATTTCTTCAATTGGAACGTTTTTTATAAGAAAAATCCATAACCAAATATCAAAATTCAATATTTTAGTGATTTTGAGCAATTTTGAAAATTTTATATTCATTCGTTATATATCATTTTGAAGACAAAAAAATAAGGAATTTAATGAGCTTATGAAATACAGGGTGTTCCATTTAAAAAATCATAAGTTTGAGTCGTATCTCCAAAACCATACCCCGAAAAAAAATTTAAGTGCGCCACTGGATTATGCGTGGAATCCTCTATGCGATAAGATTTTGATTTGACATTTTTGTTGAGAAACTTCGTGGATATAGAGGGGGTCCAGAAAGTATAAATTTTCAAAATCGCCCTGTATCTCATAAACGGAAACAATCTTGCAAAATCTGATTAGGCCATCTTGAGTTTCACAAAAAAGTGGCACAGGACCGCGAAAACCGCAAGGTTCTATCTCCAAAGATAACTGAGATATCAGGCAAAAGCATCGAAAACTGGACACACTGTACATCTCAATCTTTAGGTTTCAAATAATTTTTTATTATTGTTCGTACCCCATTAGTATATCACACTTATATACATGAGTCAATAAATATACCAACCTTCTTATTCTTGATGAAATTTTGGATTGAAGAATAATGTTCTCCTTTGAAAGCCTACTTTGATGACGTCACTGGAATCCTCAATGATTGCATTTCAAATCGTGGTAGGTACCTATAGTAGGTCCTATTATACTTCTAACTCCTAAGAATTGAGTTTATTAGGAAACACATCACTGATGTAAAACCAATGAATCTGCGAATCTATATCTGTTTCGTTAACATTATTTTTGTAAATATTTACTAATTTTGACCTACTCTTCTAGATGTAATCAGTGCATCTGGCGGTAATGGGACCTATCTGACGGCCAAGGGCTATACGTGTCCTTATTCCTTTCGTGCAATGTAAGATACACTCTTTAACATACTTACTCGATCACTCTTTAACCGACCACTAACGTCTTCACTTCCATTTTAGGAGAATAATCTACTAACTACTAAGCTTGTTATGCACTAACATAAACAAAAATAGAGCGAGCGCAAAATAAGCAATCACCTGAAAAATTTCCAACAACAAATTTCGGCGTGGACTGATATGAAATCATTGTTTTTATTGCATATATCTGGATTCAGATCATCAAACTACATGAGCTGATTTAAATTATTTGGACGACTCGTTTGTTTCTTCATAGAATTTTGCGCAAAGCAAATCATCTCGCAGTTACCACAAAAACTAACTCATTTCACGATGCACGATGAAAAGTTTTCGATTTTTTTTTTTCACCCTGATGCCTTGAGGACATTCTACTTGTGTATTTTGTCCATAAAATCATGCAGACTGAGTATTATTTGAAGTAAAATAATCTAATTTTTCTCTAGGTCTCCTGATGGGGGAAATAAAAACAATGATTTCGTTTTATATATTTTTGCGAGCAACTACACCCTGTAAAGGTACTTACTTCCAAAAACGACTTTTGTATAAAATATTTATTTCTAAATTGTCAATACACATCAGGGCAACATTCTGTATATCAGAAACACGTTGTATTTCCAAGGAATTCGACTATAACATTAACTGTTGATATAATCTGCCGCAGTGAATATCGAAAATACATACTTATATTAATATAAAATAGTTATTTATGTATTAAGGGAATTATGAGGGCCTTAATTACCGATGGCAAAGTTTGCGTCCCGAGGGCCTCTGGCCCGAGGGACAGCAATTGATTTTCTTCATTGAATCAATGAAAAATAAGCATGAAATTATGTTCGCCAGTTATCGATGTAACGAACAAATTCTATTGGTATTTAACAGTGGAGTCGTCGTCGAAGATAATGTTGTCAACAGTATCGTCACTATCAGAAATGAGGGGGCAATTTTTTCACGCATCAGAGTAATTAATTTCTAAAATTTTGAAAAATCCAAAATCGGCCCAAAATTATCTAGTACATCCACTAATTTGATGTGACCTGATGAATAATATAATAAACATTTACAAGGCAGTCGCAGAACACTGGTTTCCTTGATGAAATATCATTTTTCTTTATTTTTTGTTGAAATCTACCTAATTGTATTGAATAACAAATGTAATGAATATTTTTTAATGAAGTCAACTAAAAATGTTTCCGAAATGTCAAAAATACACTAAATGATCGAAGACTGATAAACTTGGACGATATTCAAAAAACAAATATTCGCTCACCCATGGACGTATAAAAAATGCGCTCACCTCATACATTTTTAGTAACTAGATCTGGTAACATACCTTAGGTTAGGTTACTAGATCTAGTAACATATCTTAGGTTAGGTTACTAGATCTGGTAACATATCTTAGGTTGGGTTACCAGATCTGGTAACATATCTTAGGTTAGGTTACTAGATCTGGTAACATATCTTAGGTTAGGTTACTAGATCTAGTAACATATCTTAGGTTAGGTTACTAGATCTGGTAACATATCTTAGGTTGGGTTACTAGATCTGGTAACATATCTTAGGTTAGGTTACTAGATCTGGTAACATATCTTAGGTTGGGTTACCAGATCTGGTAACATATCTTAGGTTAGGTTACTAGATCTGGTAACATATCTTAGGTTAGGTTACTAGATCTGGTAACATCTCAATCAATTTTTTTAATTGGAATGCCCAGTATATTTGCATATTTTCTGAAGCATTTCTGCTTCCTGAAAATAGCGAAAATCGCAAAAATTCCTGAAAATAGCAAGAATCGCAAAAATTCCTGAAAATTGCAAAAATTGCAAAAATTCCGGAAAATTGTAAAAATTTCAAAAAATTCCTGAGAATTGTGAAAATCGCAAAAATGCCTAAAAATTGCAAAAATTCCTGATAATTGCAAAAATTTCTGAAAATTGCAAAAATTCCGGAAAATTGTAAAAATTCAAAAAATTCCTGAAAATTGCAAAAATCGCAAAAATGCCTGAAAATTGCAAAAATTCATGAAAATTGCAACAATTTCTGAAAATTGCAAAAATTGCAAAAAATCCTGAAAACTGCAAAAATCGCAAAAATGCCTTAAAATTCCTAAATTCCTGAGAATTGCAAAAATCGCAATTAACAGGTCTCACCTTTCTCAAATATGTTAGGTTTTGTATCCCTTTGATGATCTGGCACAATTTCACAAATAGGTAGGAATTCTACGAGGCACAGAAACACAAAACACGACCCAGCCCTTTCAACTTTTCATTTAAAACTGAACGAATAGAAATAAAATAAAACGGCAAATGAAAATTTCACCGCGTATTATAAAACCTTTTCATAGTAATAATGTTTGGCGTGATTGATCCATGGGTAGGCAGCATTAATTTGGTGCCTGTTTTGGAAGTTGATGTTTCATTTCATGAAATCAACGTTTAGTGTTCATTGAAACAATGAAAACCATTCATTATTTTCTTATGTTTGTTGTTGATAGATCTATGACGAAAAGTTTATTGCTCCAATGATGAAAAACATAGATCAATAAACATCAAACGTTGATTCAATGAATTTTTTCATCACATGAATAAAAATAAATGATTAACTTTCGATGTTTTTCGTTCATTGTTCAATGTTGGCTCGTTCATTGTTTCAGTGTCTTGCGGTATGAACCCATCATCAGAAATGATTGTAATATTCATCGATTCGTAATATTAATGTTCAAAAAATTGACGACTGCCGTTCATTAACTTTACGTACAAAATTATTTTCTGTGTATAGCTATACCAAATCCTGCTTATGTAATTTCATCTATGCTTCATTGTCGATAAATGACTGATTGATTTTTTTGATTTCCGACGTTTTTTCAACTGTTTGATTTTTCAGGGCTATCCATTCTCCTACAAGTGGTGCATACGGATGCTGGAATAGCCGATATTAGAATATCATTTAAGGTGCTTTATAATTTCAACAAAAGTCAGTATTCAAAATATTTATTTATGTTTTTGTTTGTAAATAATTGTAAAACTTAATAATATAATAAATTATTGTATGTTCTATGAGATGGAAACAGCATTACATGCACAATATTCAATGTATTATAACGCATGATGCAGAAAATATTCAAACATTCATTCATTCATTCTCGATATAATGAAATGGCAAAAATAATGTGTCAATGGAGAATATAACTAAATCAACCAACCATGATTGGTAGAAATGATATACTCAGGTTTTCTGAAAATACGCCGCACGGTCACACTTTGAGACTTCTCCAAGTACATGTTTAGTGATCTCGGTTGTACCATTATTGCCGATTTTGAACAGGTAACGATCTGTACATTTAGGATAATCGTGATGATGTTACGATTGTTTCTTGATGAGAGATTTATTTCAATCGACGAACTATACCTTCTCAACTTCGAATTGAGACTTATCATTTTCACAAAATGGGAACAGACAATTTCGAATTGGGACAAAATTATTAGGCACGGATTTAACAAAGTCAAATTCGGACTAAACAAATTCAAATTGGAACAATCAATTTCCAATCGGTACTAAACAATCTGGAGTTGATTGAGATAATTATATCAATTAAATTTAGAGCTTCAGGAATGAATCTATGAACATTAGCATATCCATGGCAAATATATTCATATTTATTGAATTCTGTACAATGATGTCGTAATATTCTTCTGTGATATTGGCCCTTCTTTCTCATTTCTCCTTCTTGTTGTTTCCTGTTGTTCCTCTATTTCGTCCTGATTCTCCATTCCACTTCTCATTTTGTCTGCAATTTCTTTATTTATCAATTCAAATATTAGGTAGGTACGATGAATCATAGCTTATAATTAATCTGGATTTTGAGACAATATCGACAATTCGTTTCCCAATTTGAAGTGGTTTGGTCTGAAATCGAATGAGTTTGTTCTTATTTTGCCTGTGTTATTCAAATTGAGTTTACTAATTCCCAATTCGAAACTGTTAATTCTGAATTCGAAACTGCTAATTCCTAATTTGATTGTGTTAATTCTCATTTTGAATTCGTTTACTAATTTGGTTGTGTTATATCCCAATTTGAAATTGATAAGTATCAATTTGAACTTGAAAAGGTATAGTACTAGAACCTTTCAGTTGATGTGATGTTTTAATGCTTCTGTTATTACAGTGTTATGTCTCGAACTTGTAAATATTAAATTTAATGACATAGATATTTATGAATAGTTTTAAGTTAATGAGAATTGTTATTCTATAATAATAAAGCATGTTAATCAAAATGTTTGAGTACAAATTATATTATGCTTCGCCAATACATAAGAACATTATTATAATGTGTGTAGATTGTTTTTCCTTTTTTTTCCATAATATGAAGTCACTCAAAATATCGTTCCATCTCTTCTACAAATTAATGACATGTGGATACTCTTAAACGAATACAACATTATAGGTTATCCTATTCCCAAAGTCAAAAAAAATTATATTTTTCATTGCTAACTCGTGGCATCTCGTGGAATAATGAAAAAACTGAAATGTTGTGTTTTCTCATTTTTATTATTCCATATCTATTTTGTCACGCAATATTGGTATCCTTAATGTTATTGTTATAGGATTTTCTCGGATTTTCTAAAACTAGAATTTTCATGATCGATTTTGATCGACACCATATATTATTAATATTTGAAATTGTCTGAAAAAAACCCTTTCCAATGAATTTATGGTTGCATTTTTTAACTTCAATAAATTAATCAATACTTCATGGACAAAATCAGCTATCTGATACTCTGAGTTCCAGGTGTTCAATGGTGGTGGTATATATTGCAAACAATTACCAAATTATCAGCACAACAACTTCAACTTGTAGAGGAGGGAAAAAGGCTATGAAAATGTCAAACTGATTTTGGTCTATCTCTTATAGTGAAATCAGGAAAAGATCATTTCTTAGAATCAGGAACTTGGAGAATAAATTTTCATTGAAAACTAAAATAGAGATAGACCGAGAGATAGACCACAATGACATTTTCGCAGTCATTTTTCTTCTCTACAAGACGCCGTCATCAGATTTTTGTTCCGACGTTTCGATTCCTCGTAACCATCATCGAATAACAATGATAATGACTTTTTGGTCCGAAACGTAGTTTAAGTGCAAAGTCTGATATATCGTTTGATTCAGAATTGGAATTGAAGTTTTTTAGTAACGAAACATTTTTTTCGACCATTTAAAAAAACAAAGTTGATGATGGCTCCTCGAAGACGAAACGTCGAATCATGAATCTATTAATGCCATTGGATAGAGCAGAAAAAGTGGCAATGCTGATATGATATTCATTTTGACATATCACTCCAAATAAAGTCAGAAAAAAATAAAAATCAAATCGGGGAAATTCGGGCTTTTTCAAAGATCTTCGGAAGTATTAAGGATTTCCAAACTTTTGAGGTGGCATTTTGATCAGCATCAAATTGCTCAACTTTGCCATGATTTAACGGACCCTGTATCTACGTTTCACGAGATCCCAATTATGAACCTCGAATTCCAGCTACCCAGTACACTATAACCTATAACTAGTTTTAATTTTGTGTGGGTGCATAAAAAAAAACTCATTTTTTTCAATATATTTTGAATGATACATAACTAATGGAAAGTATAAATAAGTTCAAACAAAAAGAATGATTTGAAAAGATGACTGAAGCTTCTTACCAAAATTATTTTGGAAAGGAGGTCCTGGAGGTAAGTTAGGTTAGGTTACAAGTGAGTGCATGGGTCTATTCAGCATTCAGCCCTTCACTGGAGCTCTGTAAGCTCTCTACTGTGACTGGAGGTAGGTAGGTTTCCAATAATAGTAGATTGTTTTATTAGGATTTAGCGAAGCCGAGCGAAAGCAAAATTTGCGAGTCGAACAAAGTCACTTTTGATCCGAACGAAACATGCTATTTTTTCTGCAACCGAAACAATTAACTCAAATGAACATGTGACGTAACCACCAATGCCGTGCCATATGTATGCAATGCAACAAATATCGACAAATAATCCATGTAGTGAGAATATTCTACCTGCATTAACAGCAGGTTAGGTTTTCTAGGATGTTCGAATTGTAGTTTAAATATAAATACAACCACAAAGTGACATATTTGTGTATGGACCAGGTGCTCTAATGGCAAATACCGCGCCAGTGCTAGCTATAGCAACAAGACGTGGAAAATGTTAGGTTAGTGAGCATATCAACAATGATAATAGTGATTATTTATTCCTCTCCATACTACACTGTGTTTGCCTTGATAATCAAATGAAGCTAAACAACATCGTTGTTTGAGACAAAAAACCGATTGCTTGCCATGATTATTCAAAAACAAGTTATCCATCCCGAGAATAACGAATAAAATACAGATCAAGCAAGTATTTGAATCTTGAAGGCTTCCCTGATCAAAACAAAAATACTTAACTGAGATGTTTATAATTCCAATACCAAACTATTATAATAAGGTGTATTTATATCTCCAGCATGGGTATGAAATGCCAAATCTGCTGAAGTCGGAAACAAATCAGGTATGCGTCTCAACCCAAATAACCAACCGTCACAATGTTGTTCATTCTCGATGACGTCCAGTACATCCTTTTTAGTTCCTAGGAGCTAAAGTTCAACTTAAGCTCCTAGGAACTAAAATTCAACTTCAGCTCCTAGGAACTAAATATGTAGCCTAGCAACATACCTATTTTTGTGTCAGTAATAGAAACGTCAATTTAAGAGCTAATTTTGGTATCAAAATGGACGACTTTTGTGTCGGTTGCAGAAAAAAATATATAAAACGACGAAAATCAAGAGGTGACATTTTCGACACCATAGCCGAGTCGCCCAAGTCGTATATTTATAAGCACGTGACATTTTTGTTTGTGGTCGGAAAGGTCTTCTCTGACAAATTGAATGATAAAGTCTGCGGCTGTCGGCGCTCGGAATGTTATCATCTCAATTTGTTTGGGACCATCCCAGGTACCCACCAAACGCGATAAAAGTGCATTCGACAAAATTCCTTCTTCCCTGATATATTATTACTGATAATCTCGAGACCGGATTGATGATAATTCATCGTCCCTCCCACCTGACTTGGTGTTTTACGTTCAGTCAGGACAATGAAAACAAATCAAAATATTTGGGAAAATAGTAATTTACGTAACAAGTCCGGAAAATATTGTTTTTTTGGACGAGTAGACAAATTTCTAGGCCGAGCCGTAGGCGAATCCTCGAAGTCTGCGAGTCCAAAAATACTGGTTTTGGACGTGTTGCGTACACATTTTTTTCGGCAACCATATGTAGAATAACAATTCAATGAGAAATTTACATATTATATTTCTTTGTGGAATACAATTTATTCTTTATTTATTCTTATTTGTATCAAATACTGAAATTTGAACAAAATACCTATACCTATACAGACTGTTACATTGGAAATTTCGTATGGACATTTTCAAACTCATTTTCAATCGATTTTTTCATAATAGTTTTGTTAATCACAGACGAAAATACTGCCGTGCTAAGCTTAAAAGTGGTAACTCCACAAAGATGATTTCGCGATAATGAGATAATTCAGTTTGAAGTTTTATGTATTTTTCGCCCTGATAATAAGTATATGAAGAGAAATATTCAACAGTAAGTTAAAAATAAATGTTTGATGCCACTTTCAAGCAGAGTATTTTGAAAACAAAAAAACAGATGATAGTTTGGGGTATGTCCATCAACATGAAAAATAAATCGATAGCAATGTTAGAAGCCGACAGAGAAGAAAATACACATCGATTTTTTTTTAAATCAAGTTGAGGACTATTGAAAAGGAATATTCTCAGATATATTATAAACATGAAAAAATGGATACATTTGAATAAATACATTGAGAATTCGCATTCTCTATGTGATGAAATTATTAATTCTTTCTCGGTATATTCAACAGAAAACAACTACTTTCCTGGCTATATGCCACGACGAACATTGAATTATATCAATTGAACATACACGATAGGAATTTGAGCATAAAATGAATATCGTCTGAAATTGAGAATTGACATTCTCTTCCAGAATCGGATGAATACTATGATGAATATAACGATATAAAGAAAATATATTACTTACCAAATTGGTATGAAAATTGGAATGTATGGGAGAAATATACTAGTATACATACTCTGTTCTTGTTGAGTCGTGAATTTATCAAAAATCATCCGTATCCATGATGTTTGGGATATATGCACATCTCTTTCACATAGGTTAGATGATTTTGATTCGAATAAAATTCATTTCGAGTTTCAAACTCTCCTCAGTAACCTGAAGTCCAGTCATTCCTTCAGCCATTCTTCATTTAATACACAATTTTCACATTTCTATAATAATATAACTAAAACTATAGTGGAACTGACATCTATCTGAGAATGAAAATTTGTTGACTTATCTCCAGTCATGTGGGTGGCAATTGTTTTAGATGTATGACAAACTGACATTTATCATACAGGGCGTGGAAAGAAATTCTGAATTGAGAAAAACCCAATCACGAATCTGCGATTGAAGGTCTATAAAAATAACAAGTTTCCATCGTTCAAGTTTGAACCCCTTGATTGGGTATGAAAGTATTGAAAAGGAATATTCTCAGATATATTATAAACATGAAAAAATGGATACATTTGAATAAATACATTGAGAATTCGCATTCTCTATGTGATGAAATTATTAATTCTTTCTCGGTATATTCAACAGAAAACAACTACTTTCCTGGCTATATGCCACGACGAACATAGAGAATGCGAATTCTCAATGTATTTATTCAAATGTATCCATTTTTTCATGTTTATAATATATCTGAGAATATTCCTTTTCAATACTTTCATACCCAATCAAGGGGTTCAAACTTGAACGATGGAAAATTGTTATTTTTATAGACCTTCAATCGCAGATTCGTGATTGGGTTTTTTTTTCTCAATTCAGAATTTCTTTCCACGCCCTGTATGATAAATGTCAGTTTGTCATACATCTAAAACAATTGCCACCCACATGACTGGAGATAAGTCAACAAATTTTCATTCTCAGATAGATGTCAGTTCCACTATAGTTTTAGTTATATTATTATAGAAATGTGAAAATTGTGTATTAAATGAAGAATGGCTGAAGGAATGACTGGACTTCAGGTTACTGAGGAGAGTTTGAAACTCGAAATGAATTTTATTCGAATCAAAATCATCTAACCTATGTGAAAGAGATGTGCATATATCCCAAACATCATGGATACGGATGATTTT